GGGAATCATAAATTTTGCCGCTCCCCATGGTACTGGAATCGGTTGCTTCCTGTTAAATATATACAAAATGCATATTTAAATGTATATCTATTATGTATACATAAGATACGCTATTGCTGATACTTCCAAATTATTATTATTATTATTTAAATTTAAATTTGAAAATATATGCAATTTGAACAGCTGACTGTGCTGTGAATAGGGTTGGAAATTGATGAAATTTGATGGTACTATCGATGGTTGAACATTTAACCGAACGTCGATTGTATCTGCCCACTATCGATAGTATCGCGCGGTAAATTTAAAATTTTTATTGCTTGCATATTTCATACAAATTCCGAATTTCCTATTTTTAGATAAGTTTAAAGCGCAAAATTATTTAATCCTAGTACTCAGAGCAGAAATGTTTACCTCCATAAAATGCCATATATTTTGCCAGCAACAAGCAACAGAGTGGAGTGGGACCAGGTGGGCATTCTCTACGGTTACATGGTTTTTGTTTGTTTCAAGTTCGAATTTGTATGACTTGTTAGTTTGGAGCGATGGGGTGCTGGAGGAGGACAATGAACGAAGACTTATTTTTAAAGGGTTTTCGTGCTGACTGCACATACAAACAAATACGTCATCAGTACACCAACATATAAATGCAGGCATATATACATGTGGGACAAAAGCACCCGAAAAGATCTGAAACCTGAAAGCAAAATAAATTTAGCTGATACGAAACTCGAAGATTTGGAAAAAACTCACCGCCGCAACAATCTTGTGATTGAAAATATTAAAATTTAAGAGAGCAAAAGAAGAAAAGACTTTGATCGTCAGAGACGACAGATTTTCCTGTTATTTGGGGGTGGACGGGGTCGATGAGAATCACTTGTAACAGTGTGATGTCATTAAAGTCTGGTTACTCTAACTCTTATAGGCTCTGAGATCTAGGCGATCATCAGGACTCGACTTTTTATGGTGATCAAGAATAAATATACTTTAATTATAGGGTTGGAAACGAGTCCTTGTGGGTGTTTACACATCCCCATCTACCACAAAACTAATAATATATCCCTAAACTCTTCGAGTACCGGATATAAAAACTGGATTTTATAAAATACATTTCTCAGATAGAACTTTTTGGATGAAACCCCTGTTCGGATTTGGTTCCAATAAAGGAAAATATGGTATATCGGACACCCCTGGCTTAGTGGTTGTTTATTGAAAATTAATTGCTCATTGGGGCTTATAAAATTAAGTAAGTCATTTATTGAATCATTTACTGTTTAAAGCACTTACAGTTATCAGGAAACCATATTTATGCAGAAAACAAAGCAACAGACCAAGTGCTTAGGTCCAACTTATAGCTGCATTTATAAGCTGTTCGAAAAGGCTAAGTTCATTACAACCAGATGAAAGATGCTTCAGTTACACCTAAAAAAAAAATTAGATTAAAATTAAAGTAAATTCTTTAAAAAGAAATTCTGCCATAAAAAGAAAAACCATAATTCATTAAAAAAATTCAAAGCTACAAATCGGTTGGAAAAAGTCAGTTCGGTTCCTTGAAGAAAAAAAGTTCAATTAGTTGAGTGTGAAATTTACTAAAAACTTTAGTGCGAGCTAATGCTACATGGATATATCTAATATAACATACATACATATGTACATATATTGTCTTTCTCACATTCAGGAAATTTTTTCATGTTTATTTTTTTATAAATGTTGCCCAACATTATTCGTGTTGAATTTATTTCAATACATTTGTTAATTCCTTTGTCTTTATGCATTTTAACCAAGGAAAATAAATTTTGGGCAAGAGCGAAAAATCGGTGTCAAAAAAATTATTTCCATTTCATTCGAAATTGAATACACAAATAATGTTGAAGTCATGTTTCTATAGTATCACCACCGATTTAAAAAATCCGAAATAGAGCTGCAGAAACCGATTTATATTGTCTAATTTATTTAATCCACTTTTTAAATGGATCTTTGTTACAACAATTTGAGCAATAATTCATCATTCATCGATTTTAAAAACTTCAATGTGGCAATTGACGCCATCCGACTTTACCTGGTACAGATAGTGCTTTAAATAAATAAATAATTACAAAAAGAGTGCATATTTTATAATTAGTCCATCTTTATTTAAAAACTGATAAATGCAGCTATAATTTAACTTGAACTTGTAGCTTCAGCTTACCGTCTGGAAACGATTAAGCTTTCAAATGAAAATGCAAAATTGATTCAATTATTTTTCTTTATTTTTATATATACATACATACATTATTATAGTATATTTTTTTATTTTGTTCGTTGAGTGGTTCTTCTGTTGTCATTCTCTACACAGTTTCCCTTTTGCTGACCAACTTTTCTTATTCATATTTCCTCTTCCTCTAACAACATTCTCATCCAGACACGTAATTTTATTCGTCCGCCTCATTGAAAACACAAATCACGATTAGCGCGGCCACATTTCCCATATTTGGCCAACAAAAATCGAAAGAGCAAGAGATAGAGATAGATGGAGAAGGAGAAAGAGAGAATGAGGCAAACCCCCAACAGTATGCAAAAATTTGTGGCACGTTGCCGCTGAAATCCTGCCATAAATTATTGCAACTAAACGCAACCAAACAATGCTCCAGAGCTCCAGAGTCCCCGAAAATACCCAAAATTATGATGTTAGAGAGGATGAGAGTTGGGAGTCTGTGACTGCTCTGCCAATTCGGGCTCCCAGTGCGACGCCTGCTCCTCCTGCAGCTCTTCATTGTCCTGCGTCGCATGATGGTCGCATAATAGGGCCAGCCATAATGTCCATTAAGTGAGAACAAATGAAGGAATGTCCGGCTCGCACCCGAGTGAATGCTCCTCTGTCAGCAGACGATAAGGAGCGTCGACTGCAGCATCTCTCGTGCGGACACCAGTTGCTCTCTCCGCCTCTGCTCCTGTATTTGAGTCCACATACCCGTTCCAGCTCCACGCTCCTTCTGTTCTCCTTTGTTTTGGCCTTGTCTGGGATGGCTTTGGCCAATAAAATGCATCCCATTCGCATGCAAAACAAAAACGATAAAAAGCGCGTCGCCATTGAGAACGCTTCTAAGCAGCCGCCCGCCCCCCGGGGTCCACGGCACACACCCATCCCCGCCCAGGGGAACCAGGCATTGTCTCCGCCATTGGTCCAAAGGCGACTTCAGAGAACGGGCATCGACATGCGCGCAGTCACAAGGGTGGAGCGGGGTCCAGGTGGGGGCTCCGAGCGCTGCCATTTTTATTGTTGTGCGGCTATGACTGAGCGAGAGGGGAAGAGATGTGGTTGTAGCCGCCAAATGCGTTTCCTATTTAACATTCGTACTGTTGAATGTTGAATGTGGAAGGGAGTGGCGGGTGAGCGGGTGCGCGGGTGCGCGGGTGCGCGGGGGCACTGGGAAACGGTGCGAGGACTCGAAACTCTCCAAAAGCAACGACTTTTTGCCAAAAGTTTTTGGAGAGCGACGCCTGCGCAAAGGAAACTCATTGAAGAGGACACTTTTTTATGGCGCGAAATGCATTATTTTTTAAAAGTGCCTCGAAAACTAATAGCCCCGGGTGATCAGTTGAAACCCGATTAATCAGTATTTGTGAAGTGCCAAAGTACAAGGTAGAAACTCCTATCGGAAAATAGTATTTTTTATGGATCTTGTGGACTCATCAATCCGCACCACAGTGCCCTCTAGTCTATTTACATTACAAAACAAATAGTTGTAAGCCCACACAAATTCTCAGTACTCGGCAAGGGAGCTCGAGCTCCCTGAACTCAACAATTGAGCTGCCGAAATCCCGATTATAAAGAGGGTCATTTATAAGGAGTTTCTGCAGCAAGTCCGTTCTTAGGGCTCTTGGATAGTACGTATTCGACAATTTATTGTTGCAATTATGAAGAAATCTATATTGGAACAACAACAAATTAATGCAGAATTTCCTGTGCAATTTGTGGGACAAAAAGGGAGGGCAGGAAACATGAACCTCCCCCAGTCAACAATGGGGGACAACCTTACTCGAATATCGGCTGCAGGAAGGTTTGTGGCAAACAAAAATATTTGTACAAGTGTGAGTGGGACCCAATCGATCGATTGTGGGAGCAAACAGGGCTCATCACTGATAATGAACGAACCAAGACAATTTTCGGCTTGGAGATAATCGTGTGGAAATGCAGATATTATCACCTGGCGGCCGGGCGAGGGCAGCAACAGCAGCAGCAGCACCACATAAGCAAACACATAAAACGAACCGAACGAAATTCTGCAGAGCTAAGAAGACGACTGCAAGATACCTCCTACTCAGTATTCAACTCGCGATTAATAACGCGATCATACTGGCTTTTAGAGGATATGCATACATATGTACATACATATGTCCGTAGTTACGAGCAGAATAGAATTTATGTATCAAATTGAAGGGGTTTTCTATATTTACTGGGGCAATACTCGAACAAACACAATTCGAGCATACCCCTACACACTTCCCGAGTGCCTGGTATTGTAAGACAATTGTCAGCAAGCACAAGATACAGATACAAAATGTTTATCACTTAGCCGCCACGTTGACGCGTCGCCCGTGCATCCTTTTTGTTGCTGTCCATCCTCACGAATGTGCAAAAAACTCTACAAAGCACTCTCTCTCTCGCTCGCTCTCTGTCTAGCACTCTTCTGGCTCGGCCTCTCTCTATCTTTCTCACGCACCCACACAGCCTAGCTCGCTCTCCTTCTCGCACCCACTCACTCGCTCCTGTCTTTGGCCAACCGAACATGCAACCACTACAAACGCACTCTCACTCACACATAAGCACACACACCCCTCTGCCACTGCCACTGCCGCTGCCTCTTCTGCCACTCTTCTGCTTCTTCTTCCCCCTCTTTTTTTTGTCGTGTTTGTTTGCCGTTTTTGTCGCAAGTTTTCGAATGCCCATAGAATGTGTTTTCAAATCAAAATTGTCGCGCACTCGACACGGACGCGCAGCGCTTCTTCGCTCGGAACACTAAAACGGTAAACTGCCACCGATAGACTGCTCAGTTTAACGGCCACCGACTCGGTTTAAATCCGGCTTAAATTTCGCACCGAACATAAAATATTGCCATTGCGTACTAAACTGTTTGTGAGTAGTGTTTGTGTTTGAATGGGATGATATAACGATAACGATAATCTGTGGCAACGATCATATCTGAAGCAAATAAGTGGAGTACCATTCATCTGATGATTCATCTAGGCCCAGTCCTATCACAAATCTAACATTTACAGAGACGGGATAAAGAAGAGAATTAAATTTCAGCAGAGGTAAGTTGATCGATGAAGGGTTTGACTTGCACACATCCAACACTGTCAGAATATTTATACCAGATGGAGGAACTTTGGGATTTACCTTATTTAAACTCTCGAGTTCTATTTAAAGTCAACCTCTTTTTTTCTTAAAAATGTATATTTTTTAGAAGTAGCTTATGGCATATATCTTGCAACTAAATCGTATGGGATTTTACAGCTAATGCTGGATTAAGATTCCATTCCGAAGTGCCAGACTAAATGTAGGAAATATTTAACTAATTTAACAGACTTAAAAAACGATCAGCCGCTAGCATTATTATTCGGACCTTGAATAAAAACTAAAATTAAAAGAAATTAAAATTCCTGATTGGAACACATAGCTAGATCTTTCTATAACCGTTATACTTTTGGAACGATAATCCAAAAACGGATATTGAACTGTGGTAAATGTGCACATGGATTGCTCATTGAGCAAATATGTTTTCAAGCGGCTCTTGGGCACCCCTCCTCCGGCATTTCGCATTTCTTTGGAAGAAACTCCGTTCTGGTGAATTTTGAGCGAACTCTTTGCATTAGAGTTAAGCCCTGGTAGTCCCGTCCCCCTTTGAGGTGCAAACAAATGACTCATGCGAGGACAGTGGAGGAGCAGACAACCCCCTAGCTAACAAGGCATATCTATTGAATACCATTTCCGTTGGCATTGCAGAGCACCCACCTGACAATTACCACCTGCACGCACACGCACACGCGCCCCCACCGAATCATGACGAGCATCTCGACGCTGCTGCACAGGAGCCACAGCAACGGGTACACGAGCAGCGGGAGCAGCAATCACAGCCACAGCAGCAGCCTCTCACCGCAGTTGCCCGGCCTGGGCCTGGGCATGGGCATGGGAATGGGTATGGGAGTCGGCCTGGGAGCCAGCACAGCGCCATCACCAACGCCGCCAACTGACCTCGCCATGCCCCCAGCAGCTCCAGCTCCCGCTCCAGCAGCCAAGCTGCAGCATCATCAGCAACATCATCATCATGGCCACTCCAGCTCCCACTCCACTTCCCTTTCCACTTCCAATTCCCATTCGAATTCAAATTCTGGATCGCATCACAGCAGTCATGACCACATTAAGCGACCAATGAACGCTTTCATGGTCTGGTCGCGGGGACAGCGTCGCAAAATGGCCCAGGACAATCCCAAAATGCACAATTCCGAAATATCCAAGCGCCTCGGTGCCGAGTGGAAATTGCTCACCGAAGGACAGAAGCGTCCATTCATCGACGAGGCAAAACGATTGCGGTAAGTACATTTCTCTGGGGGCAGAGTCGCATGGGGGGGGTAAGCGTGGGAGTGGGAGTGCGAGTGCGAGTGCGATTGGAGCTTCTGGCTGGGTTTCAGTTACAGTTTTTCCCAGTTCTCTCTGTCTGGCCACAAAATTTGATCGATTAGCTAAGACAAAGGCTCACTATTGTGAGAGGCTCCCCTGCACTGGGCCCCGGATTGTGCTCGCCCCGCTTAGTCAGAATTCCATTGGCACTGGGCATATCTTGGGCAAACATTTCATTTGAAATTGTCACACAAAAGCGAGACACAGCGCATGAAATGCTTCAATCATTTTGCATTTCTGTTACATTTTTGGTCACCCCCTTAAAGCGTACCCTATCATCACTTACAGTAAACTGTTCGGAGGTCCCATATTAAATACATTTACATGGCGAGCTATAATAATAATACGAGTATTTATGCTGCTATTGACAGTCGAATCTTGAGCGACTGATTCACAGGCTGAAAACATTTGATTGAGATTTACGAGAAAGTTTTCTTTGGAAGGAAAAGGTTAACTTAAAGATTTACTCTCACAGAAAATAAAACCAAGAAAACTAGTCAAAATGTTGACTGTTTTTTCTCCGCAATATACTCGTTATTTAATGGATTATTTATCCATATTGATGTAACCCATTAAAGTCTGCTGACAAACTACCATTGGCCTCTTACTTTATAAGAAATAATAGTTACCTTTCTTATGCCCTGCATTTTCGATGATATTGGGTTCGTGACACTGACATACCTCAATGTTTGCACTGTCGTAATCCTTTTATTGATTGGATTTGACTGCCAAAACGGCACTGTAAAATGTATATTTAGTACGGACAGTTATAAATGAGGAGAGCTCGTTTGAAGGGGCTTAGACTAATGGCCATTCGGGGTTTTCGAGGGAACAAATTGAAAGAAAAGAAGCGAGAATGTTGTTCAAATATTTGCCAATGCGCAGTGATAAGGAAAACAATATTTTTTCGGGTACAAGATAACGCAAGGAGAGAGAACTGACCAATTAGGGAAGTGGCGGAGAAAAGAAAACTAAATAAAAATAAAGGAACGGAGAGCGAAATCGAAAGTACAACAAGAAGAAAAGAACACACCTTTTATCGGAGTTTATCGTTTTGTCCAACAAATGTCAACAATTGCGCATTGTTGCAGCTGGGACTGCGACTGGGACTGAGACTGGGACTGGGACTGAGACTGCGACTGGGAATGATAATGGGAAAGGTAGAGGTTGAGGGAATCCATCGGGTCTTCGCTAAATTCAGATAAGCAGACAAGAGAAGTCATACACACATACGCACATATAGGAATATACATATGTATGTATCTATAGTTTTATGGAAGGGTTCCATTTGGTTGGGAGTTTATGGCCAGAGAGAGAACTCTTGACTCAGTGATATCATCGAAGTTTAAATCGTTCGATCTGTTGATCAATGCTCCAACGTTTACTCAATTTACAGCGCCCTGCACATGAAAGAACATCCCGACTACAAGTATCGGCCCCGTCGCAAGCCCAAGACGCTCAACAAGTCGCCAGTGCCGGGCGGTGCTGGTGGTGGGGCGGCTTCTGGTGGTTCCGGTAATAACAGCAATGGCGGAGCTCCTGGAGGCGGCTCTGGAGGATCTTCGTCGTCCGGGCCCAAGGACATGCAGCCACAGCTATCGCCGCTGGGCCAGACGCTGCCCCATCTGCATGGACACCACCTGCATCACCATCACCTCACGCACTCCCACCACACGCACCACCAGCACCCCCATCCGCACCACGTCCAGCTGGCGGCCGCCGCAGCAGCCAACACCCTGAGCGCCAAGTACGGCTTCGGCTCCCCCCTAGAGCTCTCCCTGCCCCGCCTGCCCAACGCCTTCCCCGGCCTCGCCCACTACCCGCTGGACCCGACACTGGCCCTCGATCTGCAGGCCCGCCTCCAGGCCATGTACGCCGGCAGCATCTACCATCCGTGGCGCTACCTGCCCCTGATCAGCCCCGAGACTCCTCCCTCCCCGCCCAGCAGCAGCGGCACTGGCATCTCGTCCTACGGCTGCGTGAAGTCGGCCAAATCCTCGCCAGTCGCGGGAGTGGTTCCCCCCAACGTGGCCACCACCCCGCCGAACATCATTTGACCGACTCCATTGCGCTTCGGCGCAGGCACCGCCGCCGCTGAGCACGCGGTCTAAACCTGGAAAAGATCATTCTGATGGCAGAGTAAAGTAGCAGCACATTCCCCCACGGTCGCTCACCCTGCTGGCCCCCACCAAGGCGACGGAGTATTGTTAGATCCTAGTGCTAGTTGAATCCCTGTGAGTTTTGTCTCTCGTTTTACGATCCTGTTTCCGATCTGTTCCGTTACGGGTCACATTTGATTCCTCAAATTCGATATTTAATAATTCGAATTGAATAAAATTTAATTTTTAATTTAATTTATTTGTTATTATGGAATATTCGATTGTCGTGAATTGTTTCCCCTACTGTACTTATTCTGCAAAGTTTTCTTTATCGAAATTCAACCAAACAAGGTCCTACTCTTTAATGAAACAGTTCTACTTCTGCAGCACTTCAGTTCTTTGTTGTTTGAGAATTTAATGTGGTTTTAATTGCTTCCAAGATACGAGCAGGCAGCCACCCTTTTCTAGCCAGACCAGTCCAGATCGAATTAATCTATTTGGAGCTCATAAAATTAATCTATAATACACCCATTGGTAGAACTGCAAGCCCAATATACTTACAGTAAAACTAAGTTCACCCACTGATGAAAATGTGACCCACCCCGCCCGAGCGTATTTCATTTTCATTTAGTTTCAAACCAAATATTTTGATCCGTTTGCATTTGTTTCTGATCTTTCGAAATATCCTTACGAAGCCCATTTCCTTGTGTTTTCGGCAGCCTTGAATGTTGCGTGAGCTTTGGTTGCATGCCCCAATGGAGCCCCAATGGAGTCATTGCTTTAAAGAATCTTTTAATTGATTTTTAGGTTTTATTGCTTTAACTTGGTTGCCCAATTTTTGTGTAATATATATGTATGTATTAAAGAAAGACACTATATTTTATTGTGATAAAAAAAAGCGAGTAAAACCCTAATTAAAACAAAAACAAAAACAAAACTGTAAGAAAATAAACGATTTTTAAATGGTTCACTTGTACTTGTATGTACTTGTATCCCGAAGTTCCTTGATTGATGACTCCACATGACTCCACTCCACTCCACCCCCACCATGCAGCTCTTCAGAGTGAAGGAACTGAGCGAGGACGAATATGCAATCTGTGGAGAGTCAGTGGCAAGCGCCTGTGGGCGACACGGGCGTCTGAATAATAACGACAATGTTTGCTGATGCGTTGATTATTAGTTTAAATTTCCGCAGCTCGCAGCGGGGGGTGGATGGGATTGTCTGCCGTGTCGGGTGGGTGTGGACAGTGGTTCGGGATGGTTCGCCGTCTGTTAATGGGATTCCCGTACGCCCACTTGTTAATGCGATGAGGCGTGTCAATAAATGCGCTCAGGCCCAAAAACAATTGACACTTTATTCGGTGGCACAACAAAACAAAGAAGCAACCACCACTAGCACGGGGTGGCCCGGAAGGTTGCGGGGATGGGGTGGGATGTGATGGGCTGGGCTGGATGGGAGGCAGGGAAAGCGCGACAACATCGTAACCAGCTGAAAAGCCGCACATAAAAGTCACCGAAATGCCACGCTGCAACGCAACCAAACTGCTGATAAGGAGCACCAAAGAAGAAGACGACCTCTCCCAACCCAGACACCCAACTCGGGCCAGGGCCTCCCCATCCCCTCAATCCCTCCCTGGCAGGCAAAAGTCGTGCAATGATTGTCTGCTCCCACAGACACAGGGCAGGGACAGAGCGGGCGAGAGAGCGAGTGAGCGAGTGAGAGGGAGAAAGAGGGTAGTGTCTGTCTGCCTTTTGTTGCCCGCAAGGTCGTTTTTATAGTGTCCTGGTGCTAGTGACAGTCCTCGATAGAACTGGAATACGCATTTAATGTTTGTGTTCTGACCTCTCACCTCCGCAGACAAAGAACCAGGCAGCGGAGCAGCTTCCACACTGGCCCAAACACTGTGGAATGCTACAACAATATTTACCCAACGAAATGGGGCAGCAACTGGCAGCAACCCCCAAGAGACCAATGAATGAAATCGTTCGGCTGTGGGAGCGTGCAGCATATTGAGATGTTTCCCAGATCATGCTGAGATAATTGAAGCTAATTGAATAATAAAATGATTTTTCTCTGGACGGACCCAAAAAGTAGGCAACATTTTATATTAATTTAAATTAAATTTAGTCTTAAGGGAATTTAATACTTAATCGGGAGCTTAAATGGGGGCTCATCGCATCCCGGGTTAGATTTATCATTTTACTTGACCGATTCCAACTGGCTGCAAAACTACTTACGAGTATCTTGCACTTTTTCCTAACGCTTTCGCGCGATTTTCTTCTGTGGCAATTATCAAAATTTCACGGGTCAACTGCTCGGCTTGTCCCGGACCCCCTCCGTGGCAAAGTCAATAGCTATCAAAACTCACAGACACGCGTAGACACGTGCGACCAGACCCCCACCTTATTCCACTCGCAGTCAAGCCACGCCATACCCTCCAGCAATCACTTGTTTTAAGACAAACAAGAGAGACATACGAGACAGGCGGATAGCTGCAGGAGCCGCAGTTCCATATACCCTTCCCGATTCATCATTCCCCAGGCAAAGTCTAAGAACGAAATGGACATAAAGTAATATCTATATATATTCCTAGCTGGATTCACTTGATACGCTGAATATCCTCTGTAAGGGTATAGGAAAAACATTTGGGGGAGGGAGGGAGAGAGAAGTAGAGCGAGAAACGTGTGAAATAAAAGTTTGTTTGATTTGCTTTGTGTAGAGGCTGTGGAGCGGGGGGGTGGGCAGGGCAAGCAGCGCGGTGACAAAAGTAGCAATGAGCCAGGCAGGGTATTCCCCTTCCCCCAGCATCTCCCATTCTTTCCGTTCCTTTCCTTTTCCTGTCACTACTCGAGGCAGGGAATTTTTTGTTTTATTTGGAAGGATGCTGGCAGCCCCTTCCCCACCTCCATGCTCTATCGCCCATCGCACCCACTCCGGCACTCGAACACTTCAACCTCAACATCAACCTCCCCCTCCCCCTCCCCATCCTTTGCTATTTCTCTCGTGGCACACTCACATCCGCTCTGATAAAAAGAAATATTTTCTTTTGGCTTTCGACTTTTCTCTTTCCCCCAATGCTTCATTATTACTATATTTATATTTATTTGCTGTACTTTTTCTTTCTTCGGCGAGGTTCCCTCTCATCTCATCCTATCCCATCCCATCCCATCCCATCTCATTTCGCTTTAGTTCATTTGATTCTGCTGACTGCTGTTTAAGGTGGCCCCGAGAGGTCGAGGGCCATTACGCAAAGGATATTGTGGGGCCATGAATCAATTGGGCAATGTCCACAGAAAAATAAATATGCCCGGAAATATGTTGAAGCGCCAAACCAATGACATTCCATTTGCATTTTCTTCTTTACTTACTGGAGAGGGGGGGGAGGGCGCTGTGGAGAGCCCCACAGGCATCCAACATAATCGCTTGTAATAAATTTTAATTTTTTAAGCATTTGTAAGCAGTTTTATCAACCCAACAAAGGACGACAAAATATTTTTTAATGTCGAAAAAAGCGAAAAAGTGAAAAAATCAAAAAGGATATAAGATTAAGACGCCCGGGCCAAGTTAAGACATAAAAAAAAAACACAACGTCAGGCAAATTAGCGACCCAGTGACGGGGGAGGAGATTGCGGCCCTCCCCCGAAAGCCCAAGGAGGAGTCTGCCTGCCTGCGGTTTATCACGCCCACAGTGCGACGCGTCGCACGGATATCCGACGCATGAAAGACAAACAAAAAAGGCATTAAATCGCATTTAAGTCAAAGCGCCCGAGCAGCGACAAAGCCAAAATCCGAAACCGAAACCCAAACCCAAACCGAAGCCAGAAACCATCCACCACCTTCGGATCTGGCTCTGGCTCTGGCTGCCGCTGTGCCTCGGAGAACAAGGACAACGGACACGTCTTGGGTGCTGACAATCCACTTGAGACAAGGATATGTCGCCGAGCTTATCACGTTGGGCCTGCTCAGGGCTGGGGGTTGATGAAATCTCCCTTTAAGTCCATGCGATAATCGTGTGGGGAGTGGATACATGGAGACACACAATTGGATATTAATTTCGATGGGTTATTTGGAGAGCTCAATTATCACATTGGCAGACCGCAGAGTGTTGAATCGTACGACTCCGCCAGAGCCAGGGTCCACTGTGTTTCACAGCGAGAACTCTAATGCGATAAGAAGTCTGTACACAATTTAAGAGCTCAAAAACCTGGGAGATTACCTAAGTTGCTTGTCATTTAAATATATGTACATATAATATGCACCTATGTATACTCTTTTGGGACTGGGATTAAGGGGATTAAATATTCAATGTGTATACAGCATCGATTGATCCGGAGCAGGACAGGAAGGAAGTCACAAAAAAGAGCCCGAAAGACTCCAAAAAGCGATGGAGCAGAGTGGATTGATTTTATTGCAGAAGCGAACAAAATTGCATGCTGACATAATGAAAATTGTTGCACAGTTGAGGGCATTACCATGCACATAAAGGGGACTCCTGGACGCACAGGCCGGCGAGTGGCCTAGGCCAGGAGCAATTAAAGCGAGCACCAGCCAGGTCCAGTCTCATAAATGCTGGAGCGGAACAATGAAGGAATGTTTTTTTTCCGGAGCTTACAGAAGCGAACAAAAATAGGCGGCTGCAGCGTTGGAGCCCCGAGTGGACGAGTGGGCAGCACAAAGGAGCAATTAATGCGAAATTGTAGCTGCATAATTGCTGAACATGCAGCGGGGGGCGGCTCAGCGGCGGAGAGGCGCCCGCGCCATAAAGAAGCAATTACTGCCGCACAAATGCGCTTGGCATGCACAAAAGTGGCAAGTCGAAAAAAGTGCAAAGCGTAAAGTGCAGCAGGGGCAAATCACAGGCGCCTTTTGCTGGCCATTTGCTGTCCGAAAGGCTGGGCCGGAGCTGCCAAACAATTGCAATTACATTAGAAGAGGCAGAGCAGCTGCAGAATCAGACTCAGATGGGGGAGCGGGAGCGGGTTCAGCAGCAACAATGACATCAGTTAGGACAAGCCACGGCCACCCACGTAGCGCGCTCGGCTTCCGTTGCATGCCAGGCACGTTGCAAAATTGTCGCAACGCAGAGACCCACAAAAAACGGGCCATAAAAACGCTCGCCGCACACAAAAGCCGGGGCCAAACGAATTGCCAATTTAAATGTGAATAGAAAATTGCAATGGCGCAGCGCCAGCCCCCACCATCGCGGCCATGGAGTGGGCACCCACAGAGGTCTGGCATTCCTTTATGCATCTTTCCACAATCGCCAATCACTCACTCGCGCAAACAATGGCGCTGCCACATGCCACATGCCACCCAGCACCGAACTTGACTCCATGTCCCGCACACAACACTAGCAAAATGTGCACTCGAAGACCTGCTGCCACATCTACTTTAAGGCTTGTAAGGCGGGTCGATTCTCATAGGGATGCATGCCAATGCAAATGCCAAAGCTACAGCAGGCAAATAATTCTATCTGTTAAGTTCAAGTGTTTCTAAGCAGAACGCACTCAACGTACAATTAGCATGAACATCGGGCAAATTAATTAGGAGTGGCCCAATGGGTCGCTCGGGTGATTCATGCTGTGCTTATCACCTTCTGCTTAGGTAAATAGGTACTAATTCCTATCTAATCAGCTTGTACAAATTATTCCATTCAGGGGTGTCGATGCTCGAGGAGGTACCCAGTACCCAAATATAGCTAAATGGAAATTTAATTGTTCACAAACACGGACACCATGCAAAGGTCACAGATCATGCAGGCAAAAACCCAATTAAGATAGAACCTGCGATCAGGTGACCCACAGCAAACCAGAGCCAGAGCCACAGCCACAGTCCGAGACTAGGACTGAGTACCAGTACAATCTGTGACTGGCGGTGACCTTTTGCCTTTTGCCTTGCAAAAACAACAATATTTTAATTGCATAATGAACGTGCGGATTTCGCAGCTCCGCTTCTGAGCTGAACTGGACTGGACTGATAAACATATTTTGGACCCGCGAAAGGCATTCAACCCAACCGACAGTCCAGCGATAGGCCTACGGATGCACTGCCCTGCCGGCAGATAGGAACTTTTGGGTATAAAAGAGCCTCCGGACTCCGATGGAATATGCAGTCGCCTTCTGGTCTGTGTTTCAGCATCGTGCCAAAGCCCCACAAGTGAACACTCGCAACCCAGAGGAGTCTGAGAAGCCAGCAAGATGAACAAAATCCTGCTACTGATGGCCTGTGCGGTCACTCTGGTCGCCGCTGGACGGATTACCGTGAATCCAGTCACGGTCCAGGGTATAGGTAGCGTGTGATTCCGCCTCCGCGCCCCAGACTCGGCTCGACTCGACTCTCCTTACATTCGCTTTCATTTTCTTTGCAGGACGCATGTCTGTCGGGGACCTGCAGCGGCAGAGGTTCATCCTGGATATTGTGCAGAACATCCAGGAGCCGCTGCAGAACGATGAGCTCATCCGACTGGACCAGGGTTTGATTGTGGAGCCTCAGCGCTACCGCGGCGGCATCGATGCGGAAATGCAGCGCGTCATTGACTTGGATCGCCAACGGCGTCTGCTGGACGAGCACCAGATCTACTCGGCTGTCAGCGTGGAGGACGTGCAGCAGCTTCGCGGCATCTACCGCCTGCTGGTGCGTGCCGTAGACTTCGAGACTCTGCAGCGCAACGTTGTCTACCTGCGGCGGAACATCAATCCCGTGCTGCTGATCAGTGCCTTGGTTCGAGCCATTCGCGACCGCGAGGACACCCAGTCCCTGATCGTGCCCGCTGTCCAAGAGCTGCTGCCCGAGCTGTACCTGGACCCGCAGGTGGTTGAGCGTGTTCAGCGCATTCAACTGGAGCAGACCCAGCGCCCCTCCCTCATCGATGTCGTCGGCCTCGGCCAGCACCCGATGAACCCCCTGATGAACATTTTGAATCCCTGGCGGCAGATGCGCTTGCAGATGGCGCTGAATAGGCAGCAAGGACAAAAGTCGCGGCTGTCTGTGCTGGGAAAGAGCCGCGTGGTGATCCCCATCGAGGGACAGGAGCAGGGCCAAGGCATTTCCCTCCTCACCGACGACATCGGCATGCGCAACTTTGTCCAGAACCTCATTCAGGAATTGGCCCTTCTCGAGGGTGATGGTGAGGGTGAGTCGCAAGTGGTTCCGCAGCAGCGCATTCCCCTCTCTCAAGAGACAGAACAGGATCAGGATGCGGGCATCAACAGTGGACGCCTGCTCTATGTGAACCGTCGGCGCCTGCAGCAACAGCAGCAGGGAGACGAGGATCAGCAGGAGGAGAGCATCAATGGCAACGAGAGGGAGCGCTTCATGCGTGTCCTGCGCCGTGACAACAACAACAACAACGACAACGATGATGATGATGATGATGATGATGATGAGAATGAGATTAGGATGGGCCGTGTGCCTCTGCAGCGTGGCGTCGGACAGGGAAGCATTTACTTGGGATCGCGCCAGGGAGGCGGCATCGATTTGCCCACTGTGAGTGCCGACAGCGATCGGCTGTTGCACGTCAGCCGCCGCCGACTGAACAGCATCCAGCAGGAGCAAGGACAGCAGACAGGAGGTCAGCGCTTTGCAGGCCTGGTGCGCGGTAGCCGGTACAGCGAAGGACGTCGTGTAGTTGGACAGCAACAGCAGCAGCAGCAGCAGCAGGATCAGGTGCAACAGCGGTATGGCAATCAGGTGGAAGGCACTCAAAGCTATGCCGATCAGCTGGAGAGCGTCAGCCGCGACGATGAGCGTCTGGTGCACATCAACCGCCGTCGGCTCAACCAGATCGGCAGCGGCGTCGGCCAGCAGCAGAAGATGGTGCCCCGTCGTGTGGCCTCCATCGGGGAGGTGCGTCAGGTGCTCGATCGCCCCATCGAAGATGAGGACATCCTCAAGTTCATTCGCAGCGAGAACCGTCTGTCCATCATGAGCGATGACGAGATCCTGGCCATGCTGAAGCGAAACCGTGAGAAGCGCCTGCAGAAGTTGACGGGCAACGACGACGATGAAGAGCAGGTGGAAGATCGCACTGGGGAGGAGAGGCAGGGACAACGCGCCCGCCGAAGCCTCGCCAGCTATCGCCAGCAGCAGGGTCAGGACTCGGACTCCCGCCGCAGTGAGATTCTGCTGCACAATCTGCGCCAGCTGGTGGCTCGCCTGAACCAGGAGACCATTGGACAGACCGTCGACAAGAAGAATCTGTGGCTCAACAACCCCCGCCAGACCGTATCGGAACGGTATGCCCTCCGCTTGGACCAGATCCGCATCGATTCCCTGCGCAATCGTCAGCTGCTGGAGCAGATCAACCAAATCGAGCAGCGCATGCAGCAGGCCATCGGCCAGCTCAACATTCAGTCGATCCGCGGTCGGCTCCAGGATCAGCGGCAGGTGGAAGCTCTCATTGCTGACGTCCTGCTGGGCCGCCTTGGTCAGGTCGGCATCCTGCGCATTGTGCGTGAGTTGATCCAAGAGAACAGCCTGCAAGGGGACCGCTCTGGCCTGGGCATTCGCCTCAGCGACCCTCTGGTCCAGTATACGCTCCGCCGGATTGTCAGCATCGTCGATGAACAGCGCGAGCAGCTCTTGGGCGGGTACAGGAGGGACCAGCTGGGCATGCAGGGTGTGTCCATCAATGATGTGCGCGTGGACAAGCTGCGCACCCGCATTGAGGAGACCGACACGGACCTGACCAACCTCATTGGACAGCAGCAGCAGCAGCAGATCCAGCAGCAGCAGCAGATCCAGCAAACTATTGTGGGCCGTCAGCGACGCCTGAACAACAAGCCCTTCCTCATCGACATGGAGATCAGCTCGGAGCGGGCACAGGATGTCGTCATTCGTGTGTTCCTGGGCCCCAGCCTAGACTCCCAGGGCCGTGAGGCCTCCCTGGACGAGCGCCGTCGTGACTTCCTCCTGCTGGACGCCATCAACGTGGAGCTGCAGCCGGGCACCAACCGCATCCAGCAGCGCTCCATCGACATTCCGTACACCAGCCGAGATGCGACGCCACTCGGCGAGATCTATCGCCGTGTGATGACGCAGCTGCGGGGTCAGCAGGAGATGGACACACAGGAATTGGTCGGCGAGAACGGACGCTTCCCACAGCGTCTCCTCCTGCCCCGTGGCCGTCCCGAGGGTCTGCCCATGCAGCTCTTTGTGATTGCCTCCCCGGTTCTGGAGCAGCAGGAGAGGAGAATCATTCCCAGCATCAGCCTGGGCATAGGCTCCGCCTCGCTGCAGGACATCCGTCCGCTCGGCTACCCCCTGGATCGTCCCATCACTGCAGAGCAGCAGCTGCTCCAGCTGCCCAATGTCCATCTGCAGGACGTGGTCATCGTCCAGGAGAACTGAGCTCGAACGGACTACTACCAACCACCCGATCGACCGACCAGCCGCCCAGCCGCCCTGTACCCCACTCGGAAGCCCACGAAACGAATCTTAGCTTTTAGTTCACCGTACTTCACCGTGGAAAAATGTTCTATAATCTTGTAATCGTTGTACGTCCATAACTATATTAACTCTGAGTAAAATCCTTGCAATCGATGCAAAAAGCATTACAACTTCATGGGTTTCAATCAAACCAATCAAAGGGCCAGGTGGGACTGGGTCTCAACGGTGTGGTTCTCTCTGCTTTTATGGCTGAGTACCAAAAGAATCCAAGGAAGTTAGCAATGACTCTGAGGAAGGGTTTCTCTACCTATCAAGAATCCCAGTCAAGAAGAATAATTCAAATTATCAGACAATTATCAGAGAACTTTGAACTTAAACGCATGAATCATAAATACTCCCAAGTTTTCCACTGCCAGGCTTAGAGGATATTCTTGGCCAGGGTATTGGCTGCATCGGTCCCAGGAACCAGAATTCACTTCGTATCTGGTTTCTGGCTTCTGATGGGGCAATTCCCTTCAGTTCCCTTAATGGTCCTCAGAGTGGTTATGTCATCGCTTTATCCTCCCCACACTCGGGCTCTTTGCACTTACACTTGACTGGCTTTTCTAATTTCGGAAAACAATTTCAATGCAAATTGCATGTCCATCGGGGCTGGTAGGGATTACAGGGGCAGGCGCCACGCCCCCAAACAATAGCCGCCCACAAAACGTGTCGATGTGGGGCTGGCCAGACAATGCAACGACAAAATGGCTAGAAGGCAGCCAGAGCCAGAGCCAGCCCCAGTCCCAGTCCCATCCTGGCACTATAATAGACTTTTCTTATTCTTGCCACACAACTCAATTTGCAACAACGACAGAGATCCCATCCCATCCCAGCCTATTCTATCCCAGTGCATCCCCCACCTGTGCATATCTGCCATGGCGCAGACGCCCAGCGAAGCGTCAATTGCCAAATTAATTGGCCGTAAAAAATTGAAAATGAAAATATAATCACACTTTCCGTTGTCGAGCTCACGTTGTCACTGGCTGGAAGCAGCAGCTCCGCACAGAGCTGACAGCCCTTAACCCTCTGTTTGTGCGAGAGCAGTGTTACGAGGGCTATAGAAGAGTTTTTCTCATCAGGGCAGACCCTGGATACGGACCGAAGCGGAGCGGCTAGCCAGCCAACCAAGGCACGGCAGACAGATTTAGCTGGAGGCGGTCAAAAGTTGCATTTTTCCTGCTCCCAGACCTTTCCCCGTCCCATGCGGATGGGACATACCCTATCGAAGGTAAGCCAGAACGGGAGGGCTGATGGCTGGGTGATGGTGAAAATATATGGAAATCAATATGAAGATGGAAACTTGCACTTTGTGGAGACTTTCTCCGATCCATTTCGATCGGTTTATATTTTGACTTGCCAATGAGGTACCCCACAGTCGATCACGTCATGGGGAATGCCGTCATGTTGCTGTTGTTCCTTTTGAGGGCACAGAATGTGGCACGAAGCATAATGGGAAAATGTTCGCACTCGACCTGACACTGTTCCCGACTCCTGCCGCCTCAATGCACTTTCATTATCTTCGAGTGGTTTGTCGTTCGTTTTATTTCACTTGATGCTGGCGCTGCTTCTTTTTCCTGTTGTTGTATTCCGCATTCTGTATTTTGCAATTTAGTATTTGATTTTATTTTCTCGCTTTTTTGTGTCTGATGAGCTGATTAGAGCCCAGAACAAGTATGGGATTACACGGGCTATTAGGCAGCCGCTTAATGCGAAAATAATTATGTCTTGTTAATCAGTCTGAGGCTGGGACTCGGGGCCAAATTGTATTTAACCCATAAGTTGATCGCCCCCCAGCCCAAGCCCTTTCCTCCGAGGAAACCGCATTGAAGGTAGCTGAAAACCAAAAACTTTTGTGATTAGCGAGCTCTCCGCGCCACGGCACTGATAGCGTCTTCAGAGGACCACGAGCTGAAGCTGAAGCGGGAGCAGGAGCAGGAGTGGGAGCAGCTGAGGCGGAAATGCTCCCATAATTTATGTTGTGCCTTGCCACTCTGGCAACGGAAATGCCGTCGCGTAGTTTTGCCGCGCCTACACTCTATGCCCCCACCCATTCCGGCAGAATTTTGCCATAGCACATAGCAGGAGAAGGAGAAGCTGCAAAAGTTTTTGGCACGCAAATTAGCGGCCACGTTTGTTTCGCTCTGAGCAGTAGGGAGACGGGCGGAGAGGGCCGGACTCTAACCATTCCTGGGAGCAAAACTTTTTCAGTTATGAATATAAAGTTTATTTATTAAGCAAACAAGTTGGCAGCCTTATCTCCACGGTGTTCGTCGGGGCTCCTTTCTCTCTCGTCGCGGGAGATGGTCCCTTCCCTGTCTGTCAGTTCTTTTCTGTGGCTGGCAAACAATTTCGCAGCTAGTTGAGCTCTCCAGTTGAAACTGCGAATATTCGGTTGAGCGGTGAGGGGAATTAACTGAAGGACTCTTCCGGCAAGTTTGGATGAATGGAACGTGAAGGACTTTGTGCCATTTTCTGATAATTTGGGTAACGCCAAAGAAAGCGCACAAGAGGGACAAATGGAGAAGGAAACGAACAAGCCGTTGAAATACTTTCGGAGAGAAACACGCCAGATAAGTATCCGCATAGCATGAGCAACAAATTTAGAAATAAAACGAAAACGATCAGATTTAATGGACTATTAATGATTTGTTAATTGGCTGATTCTATTAAGTCATAGAAATTCCATAAATTCAGGAATTGCTCTCCTGAGAAGACAAACACTGCATTGGTCGATTGTGCGATTATTTGGCTCATTTACATCTTACCCAAACCGTTTGATTTGAAGAGTTTAATCATCAAAGAATGCGAAGAAATGTTTGCAAATTAAAACGAAATCATGAAAGTAAATGCTGCCCAAAATCCATTGTTGCATATCAAGGGAACGGAACCCCCATGTGGATGTGGATGTGGGCCAAATCAAAGCAAAAGGGTTTGTCCCTTGGCCACCTTTTCTCCTGGGTAGACGTGTGGAAAATATTGGACGGAAAGGAGGCGTGAGCTGCCTGCCAAATCAAGTCGGGGAGAATCCTTGCATCTCCCACCCGTCTATTCAAAACTGTACAATAAATATTTGTACATGAGCAGAAAAAGCGGGGAGGGGGGGGGGGGGCTGGGACAGGAACTTGGGAATGGGGCTATCAAGTTGAGCAGAAAACTTCTCGCTATTCATGCAGATGTACACAAAAAATTGCTAACAAACGGAAATGTGATATACGCGAGGCAGCCGAAACACACACACACACACACACACACACACAAAGGCTAATGGTGGATGGTGGGGGAGTGCGAAGAGGGAGTGGAAGAGGGAGGTCCTGCCAATTGCTTCTATGAAATGTATTCAGAATCCATTCTCCATTTATATATAGGTGAGATCTTGTATTCTTGTCGCTCTCTCTCTCGTCTATTCAATTTGCTGTGAATTAAAAAGGAGAAGGAAAAAAGGAAAACCTGGGTAAAGAAAATACATTCATGCGTTGCATTGTCAAAAGGATTTTCCTCTCTTCTTCGGCTATTGTATGATTGGAAGACGCACCCGCACACCCCCCGCCCACCCTCATTCGGCTGACACGCTTTGGCGCATCGCCTGATAAGCGGAGAAGAGAAAGGAGTTCTTACTGGAGGCTTTGCTTCGAGTGGGATTAAAAAATCTTTGCAGATACAGATACAGAAGCGGAATACATTTTAATACCCACAAAGTCTAGGATAGCAGGGGTATGCCCAGATTAACCGAACAGGTGTTAAATGTATCCACCGAGTGGGGAGGCAGAGATTATTTCCTTCGTGTTCTCTATTTAAACAACAAAGTTCATTGTGTACTTCCATTACACTTTTAAATTAAATTTCAGAATATACATTAAACTCTAAATCAAAGATCTGAATAGCTGAGAGCTTAGATAATAGTACTGATTAGATCTTAGTCCATTGCGGGTATCCACCAGTCGAGCCTCGCGACGAACCTACGGTACCCACGCACCTGTCATGGCTGGCAGATCCGGCTACCTTCTCGGGGGGCTCTGTCCGTTCGGGAGTGTTGGGCTACGATTACGGAAACAGGAAAGGGACCCTTCCGTGACACAGGTGGAGAGGATGATGTTCCCGCTCCAGGACAGGACAGGATCTGCGGGCAAACTAATAGTTTACGGAGAATATTTTCAATTACTGTTGCTGTCACAGCAAAATCAATCAGTTTGCAGCCACAGACACGAAAGCCATTTAATTTCTATCCCCACAAACAGCCCGTTCGGAGCTCATCCTTTCCTTTCCTTCCCTTCCCTTCCGTTCCGTTTCCTTTGGTGGGATATATTTTAAACGCAAATTGATTTTGTGGCCACAGATTGCAGCGGTAAATGCATTTTAGCCTGCCAGCATTTCTATTAGGGGTTTTCCATATATTTTTTATTTTATTTCTATTTATTTTTTCAGCTCCCTCGCACTCTGATTTTGCCAACTAATGAGGTGTGAAAATGTGGGAATATGCGTGTAATTTCTGCTGCGTTCGCTCAATGCATTGCAATTAGAATACTCTTGTGGGCTTGCGTGGCAGTGCTGGTGGTTCAGAGAGTGGAATCAGAGCTGGGAGACGCTGCAAAGTATGCTATAAAAGTGGGATTTTCCCCGAATTGGTTGCGGCTTATTTGCTATTCACGCCACAACAATGTAAACAATGCCCGGCCCAAGGACCCTGGACCCAGGACCCACCCCAGGCAAGGCCTGGACCCCTTCCTCGTCTCCAGCCCACAGGCGACAGCAAAAAGCAATAAAACGCTCAACCCACACACTGCGAACGAGCCAAATCCTCACAATCCTGCAGCAAATTTGTTCCAAATCAAAACAAATTCCAGGCAGTCGGCACTCGACACACAAAAAAAAAGAGTGTCACAATGTGATTAGGAATATTCCCACGACGACTCGAATACTCTTGTCTTTGCTCTCGTAAGTTATAGGAATTGTCTGCGGAATGCAGATATATGCAGATAGTTCATGAAAATAGTCTTTAAAACTAATAAATGTACAAATAAATGTCTGAGGAGCCATACAACAGCAACAGCAACTCAAGACATTTCCGCTTTTCACTTTTAATTTGCAGAACATCCGAAAAAGGTCGAGCCTCAAGTCCACTGGCACTACGAGTACAACAATAGCCCCACAGAGTAACCACATCACACCCGGCAGCCCACCCCTAACAAAGAGCTATTGGTCCATCAACTACGAGTGTATGAAAATTCCACAAGTAGACAACAGAAAATAATAAAATAAAAAAGAGTCCGCAGCAGGGGACGCCGACCAGTAACTGTTTCACGCTGCACTGAAGCACAGAAGCACCCTCGTCACCGTCCCATCCCCTGCCATGGCAGTCCCATCCAAGCACAATCCCTCTTAAGCCTTTTTGAATATTTTTGACACGTGCGCTGCAATTATTTTATTACAAAATCCATTCCCCTCTCGGCGTCCACTGCAGCCCTCCTTGGGCTTGGGTCGTGTGCAGTGTGCCACGCCCACGCAATTGCAAATACGAGTGGAACGACAAAAACAGCAGTCATATAAAAATGAGGAATCGCACTGAGGGACTGCCAACAATGGACCGGCAATTGATGCAATTCATTGAAAATTTTCCTACCAACTGTTTAGACTAAAATTGCATTAGGTCCGTGAATGCTTTTGTTGCTGGATGGATGGATGGATGGATGGTAAGTGGAAATGGAAATGGAACTGGCACTGGCACTGGCACTGGCATTGGATCTCCTCCGTATGAATGACTGAATGAATGCCGGGCCAAACAATTGCCAATCATTTTCGCTTTCGCGCAATTGCATTCCAAATATCTGAACGTGCCCGCCAAAAAAAAATGGAAACCAAACCAAAAATGTTGTTTTAAACTCGCGGAGAGGCGAGTGGCGAGTGGCAAGTGGCGAGGCGAGGTGAGGCGATTGCTAGCGATTCCTAGTCCCCGCTCAAACAATCTATGGAAATTATGGCTGGTTTATGCACACAATATACACTCGCATATAATATTTTAATAATGATGCCATTTGTTTGGCCATAGAATTGTTGTCGCTGCTGCTGCTGCTGCTGCTGGTACTGTATGTGTGTGTGTGTGTGGGTTTTGGCAATAAAATTTGGCTTTGCCACATAATTCAAATTGTTAATCGCGTTTAATGGCGGGCATTTATCAATATTTTGTCTTCATGTTGTTGCTGTTGTGGAATGCAAATTTCTGGTTTCTGGCCTGGCGGTAGGGCCGCCTTTGGCCTTTGGGAAGGTGTGAGAGTGCAGGGGGAGGCAGGCAGAGAGCGGGAGAGCTCCTAAAGCAACCCCATAAGGTTGCGTTCGCTTCAATATTCTGTGGACAAAGCAAAAATGGCGTCTAATAGCCATATTGGCCAGAGGAGTCCAGGGGAGAGGGTGTAGCAGAGGAATTGTTGGCCAAGAATGGGGGCGGAAATAAAAGCGCAATGGTCAAAGCTGCAGCAGCGACATTCGGGGGATAGCCCCATTCTGTTACTCCCCACAAAACCCGCCCTTAGTTATGAAGTTTCCCCTGATTCTGACTCTGTTGCTGTCGCTGTCGCTGTCTCTGACTCCTCCTACCCCGCCCAACATGCTTTTAATGCGCACCATTGTGTCAAGATAAAGAAACGGAAATTAGCACGATAGCAGGATGTTGGCATCGTCGTTGACGTTGTTCTTGATTCTCTTCTCCGTTCGCTCCACAAAAAGCCAAGACGGAGACGAAGAAGCGGCGATAATAAAAAAAGGGGGCAGTGGAGAGACACCAGCAGGCAGTGAGAGGCAGAGTTGCAGCTCAGAGGCCAGTCCAGGAATCGGAATTGGAGTCAAAGTCGGACAGCCACAAATAATAATGAAAACGGAAATGAAATACAATACCCGAGGAGTGCCACGAGAGAGTGCTGAATGCCGAGCATGGAGATGCCCACGATAGAGACGCCAAGGGGCAGCTCCTGTGACTGGCTTCCAGCGAACAAAAATAAAGATGGCAAGAACATTTCTCTGGGAGCTAAAGGAGGATATAGGGATATACTCTCGCATGCAACGTGAGGCACAGAAAATACACTCGAAGCTTAAAGACTTTTTTAAAAATATGTTAAGTAAGTATTTTCTTCCGCCCCTCACTTTGCCAGGTCAGCAATTTGGCGAGTAACCCCCGAACTCCATCTGGTTGTAACAATTGCCAAATTAATAAGCCCTGCAGTGTTATCCAAGTTTTAATTTTTCCATTTTTTCATTTGTGGGAATTGGGAGGAGCTTCCCTTTTTTCTATTTGTATATAAACCGCATGCAAATTAGACAAGAAGAGAAAAGAAGGCCAGAAGAGCGAACGCTGATTGTCGTCTATTCAGTTTATTTTTTTCTTTATTACCATTTTTGGAGGCAAATGGCTGAAGGGAGGGCAGCGCAAGGCGTGGCATAAAGTCAATTAGGCAAAGCGACGAAGGCAACAAAGTGAAAACAATTCGCATTTAAATTTGCGCATTCTTAGAAAATGTTCACTTCACCGAGGGGAAGGCTGATGGGATGGGTTGGGAGACAATATGGGCGGGGGGTGTGTGTGTGTAAGTTGGCGTAAAATACGTGCATATTATTGCGCTTATCTAGGAACAAACACGCCCAGGACTCTCCGGGCAAACCATTTCCATGCCATACCCGGACCTAGAACCCACCCACCCAGAACCAGACCAAACGCAGACCGAAGGCCTTCCTTCTAGTTGATGAGAGTAGAGTGTCTCTCTGCCTTTGCTTTTTGTTAGGGGAATTGAATGAAATCGTTGCCTCTGTTGTTGCTGGCATTGTGTGCATTTGTTTTTATGCGTATTCGTACGGGGTGTACGGTTATGTGCCACCGGCAAACCACTAGGTCTTGGCGGTTCCTCTAAGCAACAGCAACACATCCAACACATCCTTCCTTAAACGCTTCTTGTCTGCCAAATGATTGTGTGGCTCCTGGGAGAGCATGGTGTGGCTGTGTGGCTGTGAATCTGTGCGAGTGCCGTTTTATGTGTGCATTGTATTGGCTGGCATAATAGACACATTTAATTTTACTATTATGCCTTTTTGTTGTCACCGCCTTCACATGCGTATACGTATAATAAACCGTTCTCGTTCTCGTTCTCCTTCTAATTCCGAGTCTACTCGTTCCCCCTCTTATTGCTCCATTTTGTCAGACATTTTATTTGATTTTCCAACTGTAAGGAATATGGTTATTTGTATGTGTGTTTTGTTTGCCAAACAAATCGGAGATCATCAGGGGAGAAGGTTGAATGAATATTTTGCAATTTGTGCGAATGTTTCACTTGCGAAGAATGATTAATGTTCGATGAATAGTTTTCATTATGCCATGTTCATCCTGCCTTCACCCAGTTTCAATTCGTGTGCGTGCCTGGAAAACTATATGCGCCTCCGTCCCACTCCCACTTGTAGTTGCATTGGGCCAACAATAGGCGTGGCAGGGAGTTTAATTAATTAGCAATCACTTAGCATATATTACAGCTTAATCGGGCTGTGCCTAATGGTGAAAGATTACCACATCGGTCGTCTCTTTGTGCAGGACAGCCCCAGGCCACTCATTTTCCAGGCCTGGCTCACTAAGCTCTATGATCAGTTGGAGTTTGAGGCCCTCCTCCGTTCCCCGCGGCAGCAGAAGATGTGGCGGAAGTCCGTAGGAGCGGGTGCCAGCTGTCGTTGGGAAATCGGCGTCGTATAGTTGGCTCATTGTGGGACTGCTTCCCACGTGTGAGCTGGATGAAAAATGTCGCTGGAACACGGTGATACCCTTTGCCAAAGTGCTGACAAAGCCATCCAGATGCAGGCGGGGCCTGGACTGATTCCGAAGGGCCAGATAGAGGTCTGTTTGTACCGAGATCTCAGCTGGGGCCGATAGCTCAAGGGTTACATGGAAGTCTCCATGATTGAGACGACGTTGCCGGGCCACAAGACGGCGTCGCAAAGATTTCAAGTTATTACGGTGGGTCTGCAGCAGCTGCTGGTCCATTAGATTGATGAGATCCGTGTCGACAATCTGTTCAAAGGTGCGCAGCTGACTGAAGGCAACCGCTTCCACGGATGGCTTCTGCAACGGACTGACCGAGCGGGGGCCTGGGCGCACTTCATAGCTGGACACCAGCCCATTGAGGCGGAAGAGCAGCGCCCGATAGATGGGATCTCTCAGGTTGGCTGTGGCCAAGCCCAGCAGGTTGGGTTGACCTGGCTCAGGATCATTTATGGCCAGACTCAGGTCCCGGCAGATAGTTAGATACTGCGAGGCCACCAAATTCTGTGCAATGATGAGATTGTCAGCGGACTGGGGGTCCCTGCCCACTGCGTCGTTGATCTGTGCTTGCAGCCGTTCAATGGTGTGGTTGAGGACACGGCTCACACCTTCTGTGTCCATGGAGGAGCCTCTGAAGGGAACTCCCCCGGTTGTGATCAGCGGCGGATCAATCAGCCCCATTGATCTCTGGCCCGTGGCGACGTCTTCCAGCGTCAAGGCAGCCACGAACTGCTCGATACTGGAGAAAAGTAGCCGAGGGAACTCGGCATGGAGTCCCTCCTGTGACTGATATCCAAATCTGAGTTCATCGGCGGGTCCCCGAAACGCCATCAGGCGGTCCCCGTCTACAATCCGCTGATCCCTCTCCGACTCCCTCCACTCCTCGATTGAGACAATCAGCCGGTTGATCAGCTTGTTCCAGTAGGCGCTCAGCTGCACATCGAAGCTGAGATGGGCCACTGGCCTCTCATCATCGATGACCACTGGATCCGCAGGCATTAGTTCCTCCTTGTCCAGCGGTCCAGCGGTTATCCTGGCACGGAGGTACCCTCGGAGGATGTCCATCCAACCGCTCCTGGGACTCACAGCCCTAGTGGGAGTTAGTTGCTGCCAGGCCACGTCCTGGGCAGCCAGAATCACCTCCTTCTCGAAGTACAGCTGCGGCAGCACTTCATACATGGCCGGCAGTCTCAGGTGCCTGGTGTCGTCTCTGTCTTCCACTGCCAGTTGGAGGGCATTCACAAAGAGAATGGGGTGAAAGTGCACCCTGGCATAGCAGGCGTTCCGCTGGAATGCGTGCCAGTCCCTGGCGAGCACCAGAAACCGATAGACGCCCAGCAGGTGCTCGGGCATCGCCTCATCCAGCTGACTGAAGATTCCAAAGGGTCGAGGAACTTTATTCCCCTGCACCCTACCCAGGAAGCCTTTTAGACGCCGCATGGCACCCTGCAAGAGAGTTCAAATTGTGACTCCAGGCTTCATTACTCCCGAGCAGCGCACTCGCCTCTTGGTAATCACTTGGCTCCTCGTTGAGGCGACTCCCCATGGCTGTCAGTTCCTGCTGCAGCAGAGGCCTGTGCACTTGCAGCAGCAAATCGAGCAGGAAACGCTGACGCTCCGCCCGTTCAGTTGGTTTCCCTGTGAGATCTCCGGACTCACGATTCCGCCACAGCGGCAGGCTCCGGCTCCAGCCACCGCAGAGGGCGAGACAACAAATCCAAACGAGTGCCAGTCGCAACATTTCGCCAGTGACTGATCATTCGGCTGGAACCTGCCCTCGAAATAAACACGAGAATGTTTTTCTGTATAGCTAAGGCTGAGCCAGCGACGGCGACAGATAAGATTGCTTCAGACGATGGATTCATTGACCCTTCAGAGCTGGGCTTGTATCAGTTCTCTACGCTGAGTCGGGGAATCGGGGAATCGGGGAGTGCAGACTGGCCTGGACTCTTTCTCGTTCTTTAAACAAAATTCGTTTTATTACCTCAACAACAAGAAGGAGAAGGAGAAGAAGACAAAGCGTTAAATATACAAAACCCAAAGACTTGCTCCATGTACAAAGATACAAAATACCAATACAGCTAAAGATAAAGATAAAGATAAACAGAGTTCTATGCTAACTTAGTCTGTGTCCCTAAGCCAAAGTAGCGCGCTTAGCCACAAACTCCCTCGAGCTCTTCTCCTTGTTGGTGAATCGAGTATATCTACGGAGGAGGGATTTAAATATCATTAACTATTCAATGTTTGAGGGACGAGATCATCCGAAATGTTTGGGTACTCACGTTTTGTGATATTTGGCCACATCGGAGGCGCTCAGTGAGGGCCGAGTGGTGTGGAAGGACTCGATCAGATGCTTCTGCTTCAGCGATATTTTCTTTGGCAATTTCTGCGGGTGGGAGGTAATGAAAGCTGATTAATCCTGGGCTCAAATACTCGATGGGATGTGTAATATCGATGGGATTTTATTGACTCGCTGGAAGTTCTTGGCTGCGGGTGCAGGTGTGGGTGCGGGGGGGCCTACGACTAGTTAAACTTATACGTATATTGATATCTAAGTGGTAAAGTCTCTCGGAATGTTTCTGTTTCAGAGCTGTCGTCCTCGTCCCCCGACGAGGGCGGTGTCTCCAGCATGGGCATGGACACATCCAGGTAGGCATCGTTGGGATTGCTGCTCGCCTGCTGCAGTATCCCGTCGAAGCTCTCCACCAGCTCCGAGAACGTGGGCCTGGCGCACGACTCAAAGTGCCAGCACTGCCGCATCACCACGTAGATGTTGAGCGAGCACTTGGACGGCTTCTCCATGCGCTGCCCCGTGATCAGATAGCTGTAGAGCTCCTCGGCGGACATGATCTGCGGATAGGGCTGCTCTCCGTAGGTCATGATCTCCCACAGCAGCACCCCGTAGCTCCACACGTCGCTCTGCGAGTCGTACTTCTTCTCCTGCAGCGACTCGGGCGCCATCCACTTGATGGGCAGCCGTCCGTTGGTGTTCTTCCTGTAGTAGTCCGTGTCCTGAATGTCTCGGGCCAGCCCAAAGTCGGCTATCTTCATCACATAGCCATCGCTGACGAGCACATTCCTGGCTGCCAGATCCCGATGAATGCACTGCAAAAGGGAGTGGAGTTCCACATGAACAATCTCTCTGCGAATGTGCGAATGTGCGAATAGAAGCTTCAACCTACCCGTCGCGAGGCCAAATACTCCATGCCGCGGGCGATCTGAAAGGCGAACTTGGTCAGCTCCTTCTCCCCCAGGTGCTGCTGCGGCATCAGCGGCTTGTCGTCCAGATACCCGTCGCTGTCGCTGCGACGCTGCGGGGCTCCCGGCCGATTCAGCTTGAGGAAATCCTTGAGATTGCCGTGGGGCGCGAACTCGACGATGACCCAGAGGGGCCCGCCCTGGCTGCAGCAGCCCAGCAGGTTGATGATGTTGATGTGCTTGCCAATCATCTTCATGACCTCCATTTCCCGCACCAGGCTGGCCATGTCCGCGTCCGTGTGCTCCTCCTTCACCATCTTGACGGCCACAATGGTCTCGGCCATGCTGGGGCTGCGGGGCAGGCCCTCGGCCTCGGCCATCACCACCCGCCCGAAGGCGCCCTCGCCCAGTATGGAGCCCAGCGACAATTGCTGCCGGGGAATCTCCCAGTTGGAGTCCAGCGGGAACTCGTACTCGTTGAAGCCCTGGGAGGAGTCGGCACTGCCCGGACCGGTCGTCGAGAAGGTCGTTCTCTGCTTCTCGATCTTGATCACCGGCATCTGCAGATCGCCAGCGGAGCAGGCGCTGCCCTCCGCGCTGGCCGGGCGGTAGATAATAACCTTCTTGGTCCACTGATGCACCGTCTCGATGCGGTGCTTCAGCAGCTTCTCCCGTCGCAGGCGGCGCAGCATGTACACGATGAAGGCGCTGCCCAGCAGGAACAGGGCCACGATCATGACGGCGGCCACTGTGAAGCCCAAGGGATGGCTGTGCAGCAGGGCGTACACCTTCATGTGCGGCGAGTAGTCGACCACGCGCAGATACACGCTGGAGTTGCTGCTGCCCAGCGTGGTGGAGGAGGTGCACGTGTACCAGCCCTCCTGATCGTGGGTGACATTGTTCAGCTGCAGGATGTGCTCCTGGTCCAGTGTGGTGTTCAAGGGGATCTGCACAACGTCCGCCCCTTCCGCCGCAGCTGTCGGCTGCGCTGCAGCCGCCTGCGAGTGATTCCTGGGCACCACCCGGATCCAGCGAACGGTGGGGTTCAGGTCGGACAGCACCGAGCACTCCATGGTCACGCTGCCATTGACCTGCACCGTCTGGTTCTGGGGCACCATGATGATCGGCGGGGCGCGGAAGCGATCGTTGATTTCCACGCTGAAGTCGAACTTGATGCAGCCGCGGCCGTTGCACACCTGGCACGTGTAGATGCCCGAGTCGTCGGAGGTGGCATCGTCGATTAGCAGCTTCCACTTCTTCAGGACGTAGCTGCCTTCGCGCCGCTTCAGGGGCTTGTTGTCCCGGCTCCAGGTGATGCTGGCATTTCCGGCCACTGGACAGGAGAGGGTGATCGTCTTGCCGGCCACCGAGTGCTGCAGGCGCTCCAGCTGCTTCTTGAACACCGGCGGCCGTTCCCCGGCTGTCGCATCGCCGGCAGCATCGTCCGCCTCATCGTCTGTGTCCAGGGCGTTGGCGCGCAGGGACGTGGTCGTGCTGGTGCTCGCTGTGGTGTCCACCCGCACTGTGCTGGTGTCCAGGGCGGTGTGCAGTTCCAGATAGGCTGCGCCCACAGTGCGTCCCACTTGGTTCTCGGCGATGCAGAGGTACCAGCCGGCATCCTCGAACTGCACGTGCCCCAGGCGCAGCACCTCCGGCTCATCCTTGATGGTGGGCAGCTGCTGCACATCCGGCGGCAGATCCTGCGGCTGCTCCCTCAGGCGCTCCACCAACAGCTGTATGCTGCCGCCGTTCTCCTGGTGCAGCCACTTGATTTGCGGCTGCAGCTGGGAGTCCTCCAGCGGGCACTGGAAGTTCACTGTGTCGCTCAGGACGGTGCTGACGTTCCGGGGAAAGCCCGGCCGCAGCACGGGCGCCGTGTGGCTGCGACTCGTCACCTCCAGCTGGCTGGGATTGCTGTCGGAACAGCCCTGGACGGAGCACAGCTGGCAGCGATAGGTGCCGGCATCCTCGGGCTGCAGCAGGCCCACAGTCAGGGACCATCTCTTGAGCTTGATGCGGCCCCGTCCGCCGAGCACCTGGGTGTCGTTGTGCAGCCAGGATATGTTTACTCCCACGACGTCCGGCTCGACGGGGCTGCAGCTTAGCTGGAAGAGGCCGCCCGCCTTGCGCTGGACCGAATCGGGCAATCTCTGAGCCACTTGTGGCGGCTTCTGGCTCGCATTCAGCGGTTGGAAAAAGAGATCCGTGTCCGCGCTGCCGCTGGGGATTTGTTGGGGTGTCTGAGGAGGATGTGGCTGTAGCTGTGGATCCACCTTGGCGAAGCTGGCAATGTCGTTGTCAGCCTGCTCCTTGGGGTAGCCAATAACCAAAGAGACATTCAGCCATCGGTTCGTGCTGTCCACACAGCCGTAGCTGCCCGATTGTCCGGACTGGACGCGCTCCAGCCGCAGAGAGGTGCCGTTGTACAGGGCCCTGTCCTGGAAGAACCATCTGGCCTGCGGACGGATGCACTGCAGGGTTATGTCCACATCGGAGGGCACATGCCGTTGTCGTGCCCCCGCGGTAACATCGATGACGCAGCGGTGCTGGCTGAGATCGCAGGCATTCGGCGGCGCCGCACAGCCGAGCCCAATGATCATCAGCGTGATCAGCACTTTTGCCATGGCCTCAAGTGGATTCTCTTGAGTTCAACAGCAGCTAAACGAGCGTACAAGTGTGTAAGTGGTATATGCATATAGGTGGATCGAATCGAATCAAATCGAATCGAAGAGTATTGCCAAATCTCTCTCCTCGCTCTCCTCTCTCTCTCTCCTCTCGCTCTTTCTGTGTCATTTTATTTATTTATTATTATTGTTTAATATTTTATTGCCCGCGCGGCGCACACTCGAGACTCAATATGCAAAAATCCAATTGAGAAGCAGCAGCTAAAAACAACGAAGATTATGTGCCGTGCCTCCGTAATGAGCTCGAAGACGACGTGGTCTTGGTATCCAACTGAATTGCCGGACACAGTAGCTCATTCCCTCCCACTCCCACTCGCAGTCCCACTGACAGTCCCACTCCCAAAGAGAGTCCCCATTATGGCTTGTCTATATTCGACATTGGCCAAATGCGCTTCGACTGGCCCCCGTTCGACTGCTGTTGGGTACATGTAATGGTTTTGGCGTGCGCTTCTTGGTTGCCATTCAACAAAAAAAAGAAGGCGTACAGTTAGAAAAGCAGCCCACAAATTTGTTGAACTCAGCACCCACTAGACACAGTGGTTCCGGCTATTTCCATCCATCCACACATAGTGCACACACATATCTACGTGTTTCCATTCCATTTCTATTTGTTGTGTATGCATTCGCAAATCAAACATTAAAGGTGCTAAAGATTCGTAAACTCTAATTGAGAAATTCCCAAATGATGCCATCGAATCGACACAAATCCACGACAGCAGCGACTGGCGAATGATCTGCAGAGCAAGTGCAACGGGAATGTTACTTTACAAAGTACAGATATCATCAAAGAAAGGTCTGCTTACAGATATGTATTACAGCATACTGGAAGTTTCAGTACCTTTTATCTGAGCATTTTACTACACAAATAATCATGTGCT